TAGCCAGTTACTTTTGCTGATGTTATTAATTAAATACTATAACTAAAATAGTGATTCAGCAATGTTAATATTACAAAAAACAATCAGAATCAAACAATTTGGAAAAAGAATGGCTGCAAATCGAACTGGGGATATTAAACCAATGCAATATAAATTTTTATGGCTAGGTAGAATTAATCAGACACGATAAGAAATGCTGTTGTGGTTTTAAATTTCCAATACGTATTGAACTAGATTACGTTACTGCAATTATCTGTACGTTGAGCACAACACACTGTTCTTGGCACTTTAAGGAAGTAGAATGCAGAGCCACACGGACTGACAGCTATCCAGTAATAAAGAGGAATATGTAAGCTATATTGACTAGAGATCAACTTTGAAACAGAATGTGTTCAGTTGGCAGACACGATTTTACAATCACAATCCCATGAGAATATGCTTAACTGCAATTGTTGTTGGCAACGAGCTATCAATTATAATGTGTATAACTTTTTTTTGAGCCGTTTCAGTGATCCGTTCAATGCACTTGTTAGAGCGCGTTTATTAGGTAACTTGACGGTAGATGAATGTCGGACTACTGCCGCTTCTTGCCATCATATAAACACCTCTAGGCAATCCAAATAGGGTGAGCTGATAAGAGACCTTACTGATGTGTCTTTGTCACTGTTTACTGTCGTCACAAACTGTCGACTAGACAGATGAGATACAGATATCCAAGCACAGTCTGTACCAAAAACAGTGGATGTCAGCGGCAAATGAAGGACTCACCCAGCATAGATATCACTTTGGCAGATTTATATCAGCCCAATAGTAATTTAATCACACACAAACTGGGCGCACGACCACAAGGTCTGATCCACAATCACAATCATTATTGATATACGATAATGAATTCATAAATATGTCACGCAAAATCGGGCACTTATTGTCGAAAGCTGATAAAGGCACTTTTGGTCGGTAAGAACTTACTGCTCCATTATTAGATTCCGTAGCTGGTCCACTAATTACGGCCAGCGTCATTTTTTCGTTGTATTTTTTTTTTTCTTTCAATCACGTGCCGTTCTACACTGAACTCGTAGAGTAATTAAGCTAAGTATACGCCGTGCTGTCCGACAGTTTGCTGTTTATGTGGCGATCGGCGTGAACCGAATAAGCCCGCGAACCTTACAATACATTCCGTTTTAAGCGCAGCGCTAATACCAATGTACTCAGCATTTCGACTAACTGCACTCCATTCGAAAAATATCAAGCAGAAAATGGTATAAAAATAATAAAAAAAACACTCAAAACCCGCTCGCTGCCTGAGTGAGTTTTATTGATGCAGTCTGCTGTGCCTGATATTGGAATTTTGCTTTGAGACTGAGATCATTCGGACTACACATAAAGCGCCTGGCAATGGCTGTGGCTTAACATTAACATTGAACATTGAAATAACGCCTGCCAGCCCGCACTCGCCGGGCGTGGCATGATTTTGCTTTTGTTTTGTCAATGCAAATGATTCAGTACAATTTGTGATGCAGACAGCGAAACGTGCGAATTGACTCAGAGAATCCGACAAATGTTTACCTGCCAAGCTGATAAGATGGAGACACTTTTGTGGGCCAGCGAGCACAGCGACTAGCCTTTGCTTATCTAGACTGCTTAAGGGAAGCAAAATACACACAAAACTCACTCAGATTAGCGCTGGAGTGGCTGTTGTTCCATTAGTCAGTTTTGGCATGCGGCTGCCAAGATTAGGCCAACTGATTGAAGCGTCAGCCTCGTGCCAATCGTGTGCAAGTGCAGAAAGCTACTGAGTAGCTGCTGACAAGTGCTCAAGAGTGGCGAAAATAATTAATAGTTATTATCAATGTAATTACAGATATACATATTTCAAATGCAGCAACCACAGTTGTAAATCAATTTCAGATACTCTTTATAATATAGATTTACAGGACTATTCCCGATTGCTATGTGAGTTTCAGTCGATCAGCTCTCAATTCTCATTGCCTTTCATGGCGAGTGTGCGTGTGTGTGTTTGTGTGCTTGTGGGTATCTGTTTTAGGAGCGAGAGCAACAGATAAATCAACATCACCCAGTTTTACATTTTACGGTATGCCGAAAAGCGCTATGCGCAATTTTTTACTTGATTTTAGTTGCACGCTAAATTTCTATTAAGTATATAATACATGAAATAGTTGAGATATGAGATGCCCCACAAATTGACAATAACAAGGTAATCATTCAATTAGGCCACCACTTGCATATGCCACATGAGCCATGGGTGGCTAACAGCAAGATTTCAATATCACACTGATAGAAACAAAGGACCAGATATAAAACAGAATAAAACTCTGACCGCTAGCAGTCGGGAGTGCCTGACTAGGAGACTAGGCAGACATAGGTGTACGACCTCCTCCATTGGATAAGGGGCGCACAGAATGAAGATCTAAATCTTCATCAGCTGTGATTCTGATTCTGAATATATTTGAAATACTTTTTGCTGATTAAATACATTTGAGTAAAAAACCAGCATACCCCGAATTCTCGCATTCCCGTTCGAATGAGCGTCTGAACGGAAACTGAAAAAGAATCTGGAATATAAATTATAATTATTAAGTGTATTAATGCATACATATATGTATTTATGTACATATATTTACATATATCTCGCATGGCTTTGACCCTTCGAGCGACCCTTAAGGGTTACTCCGACACGATTCTAATTTTAAGTTAATAAACATGTGTTTATTAGTGTAATGGAATTGTTGTTGATCGCGCAAGTTCATGGCGAAAACAATTTTCAATTATGTATTACTTTATTTTACAGTGTAGTGGAAGTACTTTTTAGTGTTATTATTATTTTGCGCGTATTTATTTCTATATTTATCACAATCGAGCCAGAGTCAATTACAATACAACAACTCTTTATCATATACTCGATTTTCGAGTCTAATTATTATATGCAATTCATATTTATCTATATTTGGTTTTTATTTGCTTTGTTTTTTTGTTTTTGCTTTTTTTTAGCGAGCGTGCAAATTAAACCATTCAATTACCGTGCTTACTGGTCAACCAAATAATTGGCCTGTTTACGTATCAGCTAAAAGGTTTTCCAGTTGACAAGAAAAATAGAATTCGCTTAGGGCAGCACTTGCACGGAAATTCTCAATTAAATTAAGAGCATTTCGCAAACAACAATCCGGTTTTAATTATGCAATTTAATTTGAATAAACAACTCAAATCGAATTGATAATTTAATTATACTTTTCAGCAGGTCCCAAACGATTTGGCAGCAATAGAGGAAACTCCAGCTGCTCTCGAATTAGCACCAATTTCTCAAAACTCTCTGAGGCGACTCTTGGCACCTGGTGCTTAGCGATTCTCCCCTTTTAAATGGATGATCACGGACATAGGCCATGGAATCTGTGCTCAGAGATGAAAGGCGAATAACTTTGTGTGAAGTGCGTAGGTAGGAATTGGACAGATGATTATCAGCTACAAATTCTGGATTAACATGCTCGATACTGTTCCATATGATTCACGAGACTAGCAATTCGACGCTGACGTCACAGGCCAAACATGTTCAAGAAGATGATAATGGGGTCTACGAAACTACGTCAGAGTCCGTGTAACGCCTGACCGGTTTTTAGCAGCAGCCAGACATGGGCCTGGGCTAATGGTTAGCCGGCTTTCGGGTCTGCTCACACTAGCGCTGGCTGGGTCTTGTTCGACATCCAAGAAACTGTAACACACGGCGTATGCGCAATGCATGCAAAACAAAAACTATTGGAAGGCCGCCGCTGCAAATGAAATTTGGCGCAAGCGCGCGAATTCTCTTTAGCACAAACCGGTTGCGCGCCTGAGAAAGTGCATTAAGGCACTGCTGCCCCAGCCAGCGACACTAACAAAAAGCAAAAAATGTTAATTGACGATTTTGGCAACAACAAAGCGCTCAGCCACTTCAGTCACATACACTGGCCGCTGAGGGCACCTTACACCTCACTGCGCACTGGTTCTTGCGGCAGTCGAAGCATTGTTACGAGTCCCAGCAGCAATGGTCGAATATTTGGCAACGGCTTTTTACGCCTGGCCCTGCCGCGACTGGAAAGCGTTCAAAAAGAGAGCCAGTTTATCGTCTTTTATCGTTTTGTATGGCTTACGCATTAAAAGACAGCACGCATCATGTTTACCATTATCGTAGTTGCTTTTTCATGTCATGCCTTCGATAATGTTTGCCGACTGAGAGTGAGCATCGAAGACGTACTGACGCAGTCGCAAAGCTAAGTAAATAAAATAATTTGACTTCATAAAAAAATAACGACTTTAAACAAACTTGATATGCTTTGCACTATGAATGAATTTATAATTTGAATAAGCATCACATTTATCTAATTATTTGCAAAGATTTAGCTGTAATATTTAAAACCAATTGTATTGAAATTATTTGAAAATTGCACAAATAAACACAATAAACTCAATTTCCTTGATTTTTATAAATTGTGATTTCCCTCGATGCTCAGAGCTGCCCCAATGATTGCTTTACATAGACATACATCTTCTAGCTCTCTGTAAAATCAATTCTAAAAGTGGAACTACCTTAAAAAGCTTGAACAAATATCTTGAGCTCTGGCCAGAGTATGTGAAATTAGGCTGGGACCATCAGCGCGCACATTTGAGTGGATATGAGCCGTATCATCATATGGTACGTAGTTCGTTCATACGGCATCTCACTCTCATCTCGCTCTCAGTGAGGTTTTTGTTTTTATGTTATGCCAAAGTTTGCATTGAATAACTTTATAGACACTCGCAAGTATGACTGCGGATTCTGTGCGAAACGACGTTGCTTAAAAATTTAAGTTACATTTTGACGCTCGATGTGATTTTCCATGAGACTGGTGGTGCAGCTACCCCGTACCCTGAGAGAACGAGTATTCGTGAGTGGTTAGTTGGTTGCTTGCCTGCTGGCGTTACGATCGGGGGGCAACATTGCGCGGAGTGCATAAAACCGGTGATCCACGTTGGATCTGATTTAGTCGTTAGCGCGCGGGCAACTCGATCACATCGTTCACATCGCAAAGCGTGGATCGTTCCCGTTAGATTGGCTACCTTTGACACCGGCAACTGTCGATTTTTAAAATATTAGTTTCGGCTTCGGTCTTTCTCAGTTTTTACTTACTGTAATATAAAAATATTTTAATACACGCGGCCCAACACGTGCGAATTGGCGACAATTAACATTCGCGTATTTCCACATTCTATTTGCAAATTATTCAAAAAGTAATCTGTTCTTGGGCTCATCGGTAAGTTGTATTCGTGGGCAGTGTCTCAGCACGAATGCTTAAAATTTTTGCGGCTAATTAACACCGGAAGTGCCACAGCATTTGCAAATTACTTACATACTCAAACCTCTAAAAAACAAATGAATCAAATGAGCAATTCGGAGTCAAGCTTGAGCGCACACTCTCAGGCTGGACTCTGATTAAGCGTGGTGAATGAGTGAATGAGTGAATGAGAGACTAGCTGAATAGCTCGTTTGTAGATCCAAATTAATTGCGCTTAAAATTAGCACAACAAAGCTTCGAAACTATAGACGCAAATTATTGATCAAGTGTACGAAAATAGAACAATCAATCTCAATGTTTTCGCGACATGCAAAAAGAGCGTGATGCAAACTCATATGCAGTCGAGAACTAGATGAAAATATATTCGTTAATATCTAACTGATGTCGGCTTCCAGTTTATTTTTGACTCCCATATGATCATTATACATATGTAGTAGTAGATTAAATTATATTGCATAGATCTCGGACTTTGGAGCATTTCTGAAATATATTTGGCTATAATTTCATCTTTTGAAAGTGTTCCAACGAAATAGTTTTATTTGCATCGGAACTCGATTTCAAAACATGTGTGATAAACGGGGAAATCTTCTATATTTATATTTTATCTATAATTTAATGAGATGTCGAAATGTTAATTATGATAACCGTAACAGAAGAAAGTAGTATAAAGCTAATTCGCTTGATTCTTTTGGGCCTATGCAAATATTTTTCAATTCGAAACCCGTTGATCAAAATGACATGAGCCCAGATGTATGCTGAGACCTCTGAATAAGATAGCTACAAGAACAGAGCTATTACGAAGGCAAACTTTGAATAAGTAGACCAGTCTTCAATATGTTAAATATTCTGAGCTCTAAGGCTAAATACTGAGTTGGACTATAATTAAAATGTCATTCAATCGCACATAATTGATATGCGTAAATTTTCCGTTAATACAGGTTTCTGCATAAAAGAATTGGAAAATTTTCTCAATGTCAAGCCAAGTAAATGAAATATGCAAGAGAAATAAAACCAAGCTGCACTCAGAGCGTATCAAATGTCCATGCAATGAAGTTGCATGGCAAGTAGCCAAAGTGTTGATAGGTTGCTATAGTTGATTTGAGTTGCTGGAAATGAAAGGATATTATCAACTGTCTAGTGTCGGCGTTTCTTTCAGCAAGCATGTAAATGAAAATCAAATAAAATCGTAACTATTGATGACAATTAGAATAAAGGTACTGTTACATATTGCACACTCGTTCAATTCATAAATTTAAACAAGACGTAAGGCCCAAATGCAGAGCAAGGCCAACAACTTCTCGACAGCAGTCATAAGCATGACCAATTGATATTGCGAACACGTCGCTGACAAATGACTGTTGAATTTCAAACACAAATAACAATAACAGAAACTCCACAAAGGCCGGCCAGTAAACTTGGCTCATTGAACTCGAGCCCGTCGGCCGATCTTGTAAAGTGCTTAGCACACATTATATAAAGTGTCGCGTGCTGATTGAGTTTGAAGATATTTCAATTATTCTGTATACACTCGCAGCGGATATTACAATGCTTATCACGAAATGTGTAACGCACACAAGATGACAACGAATACATCAATAAATAAGCTATACATACTTTCGATTAATAACCGTAACAGGCAAGTCTATATTAGGGGAGCTATGGGCATCATTAAAATTAAATAAACATTATATACAGCTATTGAACACTTTATTAACCCAGCTTTGCATACAAAACTTGGATAGCAGAATCAAAATTTTTGTCTTGTATATCCATAATTGATTAATTTTTATTTTATTTGAATTTATATCAACCTTACGAATAACAACCATAACTCATCATTCTGTCTCACCTATTGATAATAGCGAAAAAGAGTATTCGAGCTTCGGCGCCTATATCTAATTCATATTCGAGTTTTTATAGTATTTAACACGCTGTTAATATTTGCTAAAACGTCGCATTATTGCTATTCTACTAATTATTTTATTCATCAAAGGCTAACAAATTTGCATCGAATGGTATTGCGCATTTAGGCAAAATCGCGTTTGATTTGTGATTTGTCAAATGGAATTTATTAAGCGTATTGGGTCTTTGGCTGGCGGCATACAAGTTTTTCTTGCCTCTCTGTTTTGGCCAAAAGGTTTGGTGCGAAAGACAGCACGCATCCAGTTTGAACCGGTTGCAGTTCATTAATAAAACAAACTATGAAGTTTTTTTTTTTTGCTTCATTTTAGTAAAGTTTCGCATAAATAATTGATGAATAAATTATCTGAAGTATTTCTGCGAAATTAGGTACAACCACTAGGAATAAGTGAGTTTTGTGAACAAAACAAAAATAAATTGAAATAAAAAAGGTTTAAATTATGGGCATACGTAATCTATAGATTAGAAAGTTATTAATTTTTAATGTTCAGATGATGACGAGGTCCATTCTTTTCCTTTCCTCTGCTTGACTATTTCCCTTATTTTATATATTCTCATAATCTATCCATTTGAATATAGTTTCTACAGCTTTATGTTGCTGTGATTTCAGACGGAGTTTACTCTTAACTTCATCAATTCCATTCTTACTATTCCGTAGAACATGCCCGAGTTCTTTGTTTTAGATTTGCACTCAAAGCTCATTGCCATAGTCATTTGGCTACATTGCTTTTTATGACTTCCGCATACCTCAGATCTGATTGCGGCGTACCTCACACTGCGGGCTAGAACAAAAAACTAGTTAGCTGTACTTGAAATTATGCATAATCTGAGCTTCCGTACCAAAGTGGGTGTCAAAAATTGGTTGCTCAGCATATAGTATAATCACTTAATTATTCAACCCGAGACAAGCTGATCGATGAATCAGTTTCGACTGACCTTCTGCGCTCGTCAGTTATGTAAGTCAGTGCAGTTGGAAATGTTTCGAATAATATCCATACATTATGGATGCAGGCATGCATTCAACCGAATCACAGTATATAAAAGTTTATGTGTATATGTATACATGTGAAAGTCGAGAAGTCAACTGGTATAATTAAATATAGCAATTGCTCTCGAAACCGGAAAAATTGCCATAGGTCCACTGATATTTTGATTGACCAAACTTAGTTTTAGTGTCTAGCATTCGGGAATTTTCGACTGGAATTTTGACTTTATCTCCACTAAGATCTTGTGCCTAATAGCGGGCAATAAAATGTCAAATTGTGCATGTCACACGAAAATATTTTCTAATTAAGAAATAGGCAATTATTGTTTGTTTGTAGTTGTGTAGATAACGCAAAGTTTTCTTTTCTTTCTTTTTTCAAGAAGGGTAACAGCAAAGCTCAGCAATTCCAAGTGCTAAATGAAATCACAACAATTTATGTACGCTCCGAAGCCACTCACAAGTGACAGTAAAATTGGCTGCAATTAGAAAATGTTAGCACGTTTCATTTGCAACAAGTTGTTGGCAATATTATATACACACACTCCCTCTCCCTTTCCCTCTGTCTACCTCTAACTATCTATCTCTGTCAGTGTCACACTCACTGACACAGGCACAATAGAGTCGATGTGCCCCGATGCTCTGATGACGAGGGCAATGATTCCGTCACACTGAACTTGACATTGTCGTGGGTCTGCTTTTAATTTAGATATATGTATGTCAGGCTATTTCCAGCTGCATTTGCTGCTCTTAGATAGATCGCGATCTCTATGGAGAGTGTCAGAAATTAAATAATGGTTTTATACACAGCCGCAAGCACAAGTAAAAGTGATCAAGTGTGGAAGAGCTCGACTAGGAGATACTTAGTATAGTGCGAATTGCCCACAAAGTAAATATGCAATTTATATCTTACGTTTAATAAACAATATGAAATGCTTTATTATTGTAACAAGTGCTTGGGATGCATATGAATATATTGATAAAACGAAAAATAACAGTACTGCCCATAAAGTGTCCGGCTTTTGGGGTTTATGAGATCGTTGAGACCGACTCAGTTCAGCGTCCTAAATGAGTATTTATGAGTCTGTCACGGATTTTCACAAAACAGTTATGCCAGGGAATCCCATTTAAGAACAATACGTTGAAGACTTTATATCGCTTGGGCAAACATCTACAAGTGTATTTTTAAACTGGATGTACGTCGTTTTTAATATAGAAGCTCAAAAAGGGTAAGGCGCTTATATTTTGTGAAGCTCATAATAATTTGGCCAAATCAGGTTTTAGTGCTAGGTTATTGGCGAAGCAGACATACGCTCAGACGACAATCTATTGCGCATAACCTGTTGAGCAAGAATCAAATGAGCTATATGAATCATTAAAATCATTAAAATTAAATCAGAAATTTACTTGTGTTTACCTCTCTCTCTCTCTCTCTTTATCTCTGTCTTCTTTCCAGCCATGAGTAAAAATGGACACAATAATCAGGCGTTTGTCAGTGATCATGTGGACAACATCAAGCAGCAGAGCAGCAACAAGTACTCACTGGAGCTAGCGGAGAAGGGTGCTGTCAAGACTCCCGAATACAATCCCTATGAGCATCGGGATGTGCCGCATCCCACAACGTAAGTGTAACAGTAACGCAAACTCTAGGCCATTTTACATTTCTATGCCTTCAACAGCAACTGGGAGACCCTATTCCATTTGCTGAAAGGCTCTCTAGGCACTGGTATTCTGGCCATGCCAAATGCCTTTCGCAACTCGGGCTATGTGTCGGGGACCATCGGAACCATTGTGATCGGCTTCATATGCACCTACTGCATACACCTGCTGGTCAAGGCAGAGTATGAGCTGTGTCGCCGTAAAAAGGTTAGTTAACGTCAAGTTTTATCTCTATTGGATGGTCTGCTCATTCTGAATTTCCAAACAGGTGCCCAGCATGAACTACCCAGCTGTGGCGGAGGCAGCCCTGGCCGAGGGTCCTTCTTTCTTCAAGAACTGTGCCCCCTACATAGGCACCGTAGTGAATGTATTCCTGCTAATTTACCAACTGGGCACTTGCTGTGTCTACGTGGTATTCGTTGCGTCCAACATAAAATCCATTGTCGATACCGTCTACGAGACCAACATCGACGTGCGTCTCTGCATGATAATAATATTGGTGCCTTTGATACTCATCAATTGGGTGCGACAACTGAAGTACCTGGCTCCCTTCTCCACATTAGCCAATTTCATCACAATGGTATCCTTTGGCTTCATTTGCTACTATATCTTCCGGGAGCCAGTCACACTGGAGGGCAAGGATGCCATTGGCAAGATTGAGAACTTTCCACTGTTCTTTGGAACAGTTTTGTTCGCCTTAGAGGCTATTGGCGTTATTTTGCCTCTCGAGAACGAGATGAAAACGCCACACAAGTTTGGCGGCTCCTGTGGCGTTCTGAATATTTCCATGGTATGGATCGTTTTCTTGTACGTGGGCATGGGTCTATTCGGATATCTAAATTACGGTGCCAGTGTACTGGGCTCCATCACTCTGAATCTGCCTGAGCATGAAATGTAAGTAAACAGAAAACAATGTTCTTGAAGAAAACTCACGATTATCTCACATCCTCTTGCAGTCCAGCGCAATGCGTGAAAGCCATGTTGGCATTCGCCATCTATATCACACACGGTCTGGCCTGTTATGTGGCTATTGACATCACGTGGAACGACTACGTCGGCAAGAAACTGGGCCCCCAACGCAACAAGCTCTTCTGGGAGTATGCCGTGCGTACCGGCCTTGTGCTGATCACCTGTAAGTAGCTGCACAAGCGAATAAAGAGTGCAGATATTCAATATCTGATTGATCTTCTAGTTCTGCTCGCCGTGGCCATACCCAATCTGGAGCTCTTCATATCGCTTTTTGGCGCCCTGTGCTTATCCGCCTTGGGCCTGGCTTTTCCAGCTCTGATTCAGATCTGCACGCACTGGTACGAGACCACTGGAATGGCCAAGGGCTGGCTGCTGTTAAGTGAGTGTTTGATGTGGAGCATCTTTTATGCGTATGATTACATATCTTTCGTTTTTAGGCAACTTCGTGCTGATTATTGTTGGCATTCTGGGTCTAGTTATTGGAACGTATACCTCTCTCAAGGAGATTGTTCTCACATTCACCGAATAGTTGGCTACTTTGAAATTACTTTAAGTCAAATATTATAATTTGGTATATTCCATTCCTTCGAATTTGTCGTACAAGCAAAGAACTACGCACTCAATATGACAAATGGGCCAATAAAAAAGGAAGAGTGCTGCATCGAGCGACTGCATGTTAACTAATGATTCGTAAAGTTAAACTTCAATACTTGTAAAAACAAAAATCTAAAAAAAAATTGATCAAATTTGTGATATTTTTAAGCATTGTGCCCAAAAATTTTTACATACACATATTGTTCATAATTTATAACTGTATAGATGGTTAAGCTCTAAGTCGTATATTTTTAAGCATTATTTAAAATACGATAACAAAACAACTATGAATTACAATTATTTTTGCCATATTATAAAATCAAAATAGTTCACGTGTGTTTAACAATCTTTATAAAGGCGTTTAGAGCCATACACAAACGGCTGATCCCATCCACAAGTTTTTCTTTCTTGTGAAAAGCTATAGATATGCGAAAGAACTGTTGTCCCTTGCCCTCCTCAACAGCAAATCGTGAACCAGCAATAAATGTAATCTTCTCATGCTCCAAACAGTATTCCAGAAACTCGGAGGCATTCACCTGGTTCGGCAACCGTATCCAAACAAAGTAACCGCCAGAAGGCGCTACAAATCGACAGGTGTTAGGTAGTTCAGACTTTAGCACCGCGTTGACGGCCAACATCCGCTCTTTGTATGCTGCATAGAGTCTAGCAATATGCGGTTGCGCCAGTTGCAGTTCAAATAGACTGCCAACAATTCCAGCTGTGTAGTTATTGAAGCAACCACCGCTGTTAATGATCCCACTGAGAAGAAGTTGTGGTTTAAGACGTGGAGGCACCTCTAGCCAACCTAGACGCACCCCAGGTCCAATAATCTTTGAAAAGCTACCATTGGAAATGACATTACCGCCGTAGTCCGCATCTGTGCGTGTGTCATAAGACAGTAGACGCGAGTGCTGCGGTTTGGTGCCATAATGAAGAATATTATAGACATCATCGCACACTACTAAGAAGTCATATTTACGTGAGAGCGCCACAATTCCACGACAAACAGCTGTCAAAGAAGATAAAGCGGTGAGTGATTAAAGCAAACGTTTATATAATTTTATAGTTACTCTGAGAGAACAAAATGCCAGTAGGATTGTGATATGTGGGTATTGTATAGTAAATGGCCCAAAACTCTTTGTTCTCCGATTTAAAGCGACGGTCTTTTACTTTTACTTCCAGATCGTTAAGGTCGACGCCATCATCATTCAGTTTAAGAGGAACAATCGTAAGACTCGTGAAGTGTTTCATGCTGTCCAAGGCAATCATATACGTGTACTCATCCACGAATAAATAGCCATTAAAGTCTATCATTGTAGAAAGCAAGAAATGCAAGCCTTGACTTGCGCCAGTTGTGACTATCAGGTCTTCACTGAAAGTGGGAACATCAATAGCTTGCCAAATCTTAAAGTTTCTTCTGACATACCAGTTCACGGGGCTATCATACATCCCGGTCAAGTACTTGGCGATTTCGTTGCGTATTTCATGAGTGCCGTTAGTTGGTCCATATTGAAATATCAGAGATTGGTTGACCTCTTTTTCCCTTCGCTACGGACAACCAAAGGTTATTAAGAATAATGACGAAATCTAATAATCATATAAATCGTTCAATACTAACCAAGCAATGGGCAGTAGCCTCTTGAAAAATATCACAACAAGGCTCTAAGAGATCTGTGCCTGGAGCTCCGACACCCAAATTTAATACAGTCGGATCATATACATTCCATTCCCCACCATCAAAAAGATGCTTAAGCTTTCGCTCACTATTCTGATCAGACATTATTTTGCGTTATCTTGAGCGCTGGCAAAACTGAACTGATCCCATATCGATAACGAAAATCCACGAACTGTATGAGCGCCACAATATTAACCATTCACAAGTAGACGCGTGCGCTTGCCATTAGCACTGTCAGAAGCAGTTAGCAGTCACTTCGATTCGGAGACATCAGCTGTTGTAATTGTTTTGGAAAATTCATAAAGTAACATGGAAAAGGAGCAGCCAACAACAAGCGCTAACGCAGCCCAGGCAAAGGATCAGGATAATAATCCGCTACTCGACTCACCGATGCGGGGTCCCACACTGTCGACTTCAACATCCAGCTTCGAGGCCTTGGCCCACGCCCATGACCCAAATCTCACCAAACTAGCCACGAAGATGTTCCAAAAAACAGAAGAATATATAACGCACGAGCTCAATGCGCCATTAGAGGACTATAAATTGCTCGAGGAAATGAACAAGGCAACCATAGCCAAGTACAAAGACATGCGTCAAATAGCCGAGAACCTCAACGTATCCACCAACGAGCTATGCGTCAAGTTTCAGCAGCTAGCACCTCTTATGCAGCAAATTGATGAAATATCAGACACCGTAGACAAGTTGGAGGCGGCTGCTTACAAGCTGGATGCATATAGCATAGCGCTAGAGAATCGCGTCAAGTGTGTGCTGCAGCGCAAGTCGAGTCACCATGTAGGATAATAATTGCGAGTTTTTCAAAAACCATTATTAGTACATTTATTACAATATAATTTAAGTTTTACCCAAGTAACAGTTTAAATATAATCGCTATTACGTTAAGAAATATCAGTGGAACTGTAAAATGGAAAATATGGACACGTGTTAGTTATATTCGCTTTGTTTTATGCAAATTTGCAAAATGTTGTACAAATACTCACTCTTGGCAACTGTGCGGATCGATCGAATAAGATTTAGGACTTGATCCTTGGCGCTGGGCGCTCCGAAATCCTGTTGACCGGCTTGTCGTCCCCAGCCAACTATAAACATAAATTTTTGGTCAGAGATAAATATATCGGTCTGCAATTACTTACACTTGGCCAGAAAACGCTCTTCGTGCAGAATGCAAACTGCATTTAGACAAAGCAGCGAGGCTTCAATCAGTGTCCACAGTGTAAACATTTTTACAATTTATCGGGGAAAATGATAAACTAAATAATTGTTGACGTCAGTTTCAAAGCGACACTTGCCAATCACTACGAAACGCGTACAAACAGCTGATTGTGTTACTGCGACGACCAGTCTGTAAGTCTAAGGCTATTTTCCAGCACTACTTTATTTATTCTTTTCAATAGACCCTTCAAATTGTTTGCTCATTTTTAAGTGCTCATAGTTTTGAATTTTTGGGAATTATTTCTGAAAAAAATCAAATCATAATGACCTCATTTGTTAAGGTTGTTTTATTGCTGACCTCTTTAGTCACATTCTGTTACACATTTTATGTGGTCGGAAAATTGACGCTGTTTCTCTCCAAGCCGCGATCGATTTCAAGAGCGCACATCTGGGTCTTTAATTTATTGGACAATGACTCGCGAGTGGAAACCGCATTTGGATCGATTGTATTCGACACTCTCTATTTAATCACGTTCATATTTCAGCATAGCTTCTTTAAGTCAGCAATAGTGAAGAATTTGCTGCGCAAATTGCACTTGGCTCCAGCCGAGCGAACTATTTATACTCTGACGACATCGCTTTGTTTACATGTATGTATACGCCATATTCACCGAAATAGTCTTGAGTTCCCGTATATATAAACATACTCTCCCTATTCGTTTAGCACCTGGTGAAGAACTGGGTGCCTGCTCAATCGATTGTTCTCTGGCAAATCGACGTGGACGAGAGCATCCCGCTTTGGTGGACTTTTGTTATAACCCATGGTATATGCTGGGCTATCATTTACGGAGGCAGCTTCATAATGGACCTGGGAGAGCTTTTGGGCATCAAGCAGACCTATTATTATCTACATAACTACTCGGAACCCATCACATTCAAGTCGCTTGAGCTTCGCAACCTGTACTCTCATGTGCGTCATCCGTCCTTTGTAGGATTCACTCTCATTCTGTTTGCCACCAATGTGATGAGCATTGATCGCTTTCTACTCGCTGTGCTGCTGACCGCGTATATGTATGTGGCCTGGTCCTCCGATCAGACCGACGTCGCCTACCAAAAGAAACAGCTGCAGCGCAAGAAACAAGAACTAAAAGCGCATTAAGGATGAAATTCACATGCATTTTAGCGGGACCTTTACTTTTAGTATCTCATATATATCTATGTGCCTAATAAACTACTAGCTCATCCGCACCACCGACGGATCAAAGGGTTGTCCTTTAAAGGGGGAGCCTTCAACATCCCACGCTGTACGCAGGCGCTCTAGCGTTTTGGCCTGCTCCGGATCTGTAGTCCGCAAGGAATTTTGTTGCTGATCCGCTTCCATCTGTTGCACGCGTAGTTTCTCAATGGCCGTCTGTGACTCTTGGGGCAATTCATCTATATAGCGCTCACAGTCAAGTTTTTTTATATCGATCTCATCGTCACCCTCGAAAAGCCGCTCCCACCAACGCTCTTTTACCTTGTCTTTAACAGTAATCCATTAAAGTTTGCTTCGATATTATATTGAAATACCTACCACAACAAATCAGCAGCCGGCCATTTTCTATAGACCACATGGCTTCATTCTGTCTTATACGCTGGCTGAGCGTACCCTCGATGATCACCTGTTCCGGTGTGCTCTTACTGCTCACTTTGATATGCTGCGCTTTGATATCTATGGACAGTTGTTTGGCAGTTCTTAGAGTGGGTGGGAGTTGAACCTGCACTTCCAAATCCTTTAGGGTCTGAGACCAACAATGGTGCTCAAACGCGGCTCCATTCTTAAATTCACCAGCCTCAAACGGACGGCTTAGGTCGTCCATCTTCTCGCTTGCCTTTGTCGGAAGGGTTTTTGGCGGCGTTTCCTCTGTAGTCTCCACACAGATTTCTTCAACTGCGGGCGGAGCAGTCTCCCCAGAATCCCCAATATCGCTTTCAGCGCTCATAGTTTGTATCCAGCAGTCAGGATCATAGCGCTGCATGGCGCCATAAAGGATTTGATCCCTCATTCCTTTAGGAAACCCAATTTGGTCTGATGCATCTTTCTTGGTATGATAAAAATCGGTGCTACAAAATATTTTCATTTTCCTTATCCTTTCTATTACTGAGGAATATTTATTACTTGCGCCTTAAGAAACCAAATATTGCGTCTAGAAAACCAGTGATTGTTTTGCGCTCCTGCAATATTTCCATAAGAATAGCATCGCTTCGTTGAAAATCCATACTTAATTTCTCTGAATAAGAATTTGTCAATCGTAAAAGTGTAAACAATTTTTTTTTGGCTTGACTAGTGCCAGTGTTGATAAACGATATCAGGGAAATCGCTGGGAATGGTAAAAAAGATGAAGCAGTTTCACGCTTAACCATTTTATTTAACTATAGCTTTGAATAATTTCATATTTATGCAAATGAAAGAAATCAACTTAATTAGCATTGGTAGGCAGTACTCCAAGTGCACATTTGGACCAGGTATTATCTGTAATAGAGTATATTAAAACAGTGTACATTCCAGTGAAAACTGCTGCTTACCCTCTTCAAGTTTCCAAATGCCAAATACAGTTTGGGTTTTATAAGAACTATTTTCTTTGGCAGCCCCCTTAGAGGGATTATCGATGTTAAGAGGCTTCTCCGCGTCTATATCCTGCATCTTAGCGTTACAAACCTTAGTAAAATCTTCAATCTGTTCGTCTGTTAGAGGCGGAACCACGAGAGGCAACAAACTGAAATATATGAAACGAAAACAACATTTAAAATCTATTTGCAACTAAGTACAAATCCTATTTACCCCTTCAATATGGGTACTGAGTATTTAGTCAGTGGACCAAGTCTATTCATTAAAAATTCTCGCTCAAATACCCAAGAGCGAGGCTTCCTTTGACATTCGCCGAAAATCAATGTGAGACTCTGATCCACACCCGAGTGAATGAGCAGGCGACGCATGGTTTTCGATATCTCCGATTTGTTAAGTGTCGTAAAATCCACAGCCTTTATATTGGAGTTCTATAAATAAGATAATGTTGTAGACAGTCTGTCGACAGTCTATTTCAAATGCTTACCGAATCCAATTCCTCTTTGTACATACGCTTCATTCGGCACAGCATTCCAAAAGTCTGTAGCATCTTTGTGGCCCAATAGCTCGCGCCTCGCCGTCTTACATCGTTTTCATTTACACTCTCTGATAATTGCACGAATGCCACAAACATGTTCTCTATGTAACCCTGCATGGCCAGCAGTCGGAAGAGGCCCTGGGTAGCCTCAATGACGAGTTCTTCGTTGTCGTTGTGCCCAAGGCCTGCGCCCAGGAAATATTTCATTTTAAGCACACCCGCCATATAAATGTCAAGCAAATCTTTCATTGCCGAATTTTGTCTTTTCACAGCTACGCCCAATTCAGTGACCACCGTATCAAGTACCTCTTTAGTACTTTTCAGCTTTCTCGCGGAACAATATACTCGAATTTTATTGAACTCCGAGCTAGGCTTCAATTTACTGATCGACTTCAACTTTTGTGCACCGTTTAGTTCGCATTCTAAGGCCAAATCGAACATCTCAAAAAGAGCCCCCACCTCCTTTTCAAATTTTAGCACATCCTTCCGCTGCAATTTCGGTGCATTCAGATTACTCAGGTTCTCTTTTTGTGGAAGCCAGTAATAAGTACGTAGCCAGTCCAAGCAGTGGGCGGCCGTGTGCCGCAATACAAGCACAGGCGGCAGCTCTTGTCCATGAGCGCACAAGTGCCTCAAATCTACGATAAAAGACTGCAGGCCGAGCTGCTGTGCCGTAACGTACATGCTAGACATGTTGTAATTCTGCATGATCGAAGACATATAGTTGAAGAAGCGCGTGAAGGCACTGGCATAAATTGACTGGATGTTATTGCTGCCTTCCTTATCCTCCAGCTGCGCCTTGACCAGCACGGCAGTCGCCAGCACGGAAGCCGGGCATAAGCTTCCCCGGCGCAAGTTCCATATTCTCATGTGGCTAAGAGCCTTGCGAAGATTTGCAGGTGACGGCTGCTTTCCAAATAACCAGTCGTATACAGAGCTAAACTCTGTGCTAAAAATTAAGAACGTTTTTTTTTAGGGAACCCTATAGAGCAAATCATGTGTTTACGCACGTGTCACGCCAAGGTGTGACAACCATTCTCTGTTTTGCTGGCGGCGGTGCTGTTGTTACCGTCAGAGGATCCTCGGTATGTTTTCTTTTCGCATTCGGCTCTTTTTCTTTGGCGGCGACCATGATGAGTTATAAATTCAATTGTTATGAAGCGCGTTCAAGCACTTGTGGAATGTGGCTGTCACTGTAAAGTACAAAAACACATGTAACGAGTCATCGATATTACTATCGATATCGTGATTATTCATCACCACACATTTAATTCACAATATATAGATAGTATATCCGACAATTATGGTTAAGTAAGCTCATTTTGATGATCGTCTCATTTTTTATGGCTATAAATTATGTTCTTAAAGTCAATTTTAAATGAACATGCAAATACATGCAAATGTTTCCATCTCTGGTAGTGCACATTGTTCATCTCTAACGAGTTTAAAGTTCAGTGTTGCAAGGCGCGGAAAAAGGTACACAACAAGGGCGATGAATTTTTCATGTAATTAAAGAACATTTAAAAAATGCATTTAATATTAAAGTCGTAGCTAAATATAAATTTATTTATATATTTCCAGTAAATGTCAAATACCAGAAGGCATAGCACAACCAAGAAAACATTTTTCCCACCCACTTATTACGCGCCTTTTTTCTACCTACGTTTACCTGCTGCATTTACTCCACACATGCATATCGTCTACAATAACTATAACAATAACAACTTGGTGGATATTTTTAATAGTGAATATGTGGATGGGCCGCTGACGTCCAAGAGGATGATAATTGGCTCGTTTTCAATGTTTCTGATATTTTCATACCTTAAGCTGCTGTACATACTCGTGGCAATCTATTTGGCGCTACACCACGTCCACATATAAATAGGTCGAAAAAGGGGCAAATGTATCACTTTGTCTCAGAGCGAACAGCGGAAGTACGCGTCTCCGAGAACGTGCTGATTCCCAGCAAGACGACGCAGTACTTAAAGAGCTTTCAACTCGAGGCAGTGCGCTTTCTCTATAAACGGCTGTCCAAAAAAGAGTTTTGCATTTTTAACGATGAGAGCGGTTTGGGCAAAACAGCGTCTGTTGTGGCCCTGTTAAGTGGACTGGGAACGGTCAAGAATACGCTAATTGTGTTGCAGAACGATGATCAGTTGCTGGCTGGCTGGCAGTTTCACCTGGGAGTGCTCACTGATTTGCCCGTATGCGTTATTAAGAACGTTAATGGTATTAATGGATTATATAAATAATTATACATGTATAAATAATAGATAATTGATCCACGTCTATTTTGTAGACACCACAGAATCGGCGCATAGCGTTTATCTGAGCAAGTGGAGTATATTACGCAGCATAGGCGATCTCAGCAAGCTGAATTTTGACTACATCATTGTAGATCATCGCGGATACACATTAAATAATAATTTTTGCACTTCCATGCTGCTGAAGCAATTCGAAGGCAAAGTGAACATTGTGATCTCTAGTGTGGACATAACGGTAAGGGCATTAAATATATAAAAATATGAAAATCGAAGTATAAGAACTTGATCCTTCTTCCAGTCCGACGTTAAGTTGCTGTATAAGGTGATGCAATTGGGAGGCTGTTTGGATCATCAATTCAAGTGCTTTAGAAGTTTTGAGAGCAAGTTTCATCTACCAGATGTTAAGGAGGTGCTAAGCAAGCGTGTCGATATCGAGGAGTACTATAAGCAGCGGGGTATCCTTGGCGAATACATCAAGTTGGTGAACCTCAGCAGTAAATCAAACGATTAATGTTGCTATTAATATATCTTATATATCAGCACAGTTTCTAAATCCATTTACTAACATCTCAATCATTTTAGTAACATTTTTTATTATACTTGCAGAGATTATCGTCTTCGTCGCTATCGCCATCAGTTTGATTCATACCTGCCTCTTGTCACGGCCGAGCAATACAAGAGGAACCTATCTCTGTGGCTGGGCGAGAACAATAGCAGCAGCACAATAAGTGACTCAACTGTAGGATCGAAAACATCAGACGTTCCTTCCACAGGCGACACCGAAGAAATCTTTGAGTGTATATTAAGCCTTCAACGGGAGCGACATTTAGCGGAATGCCAGGAGCCAGATAAAATATCTCTGTCTGAGCACAGTGATGACGTGATTGCAATGGAGCCATTGATTTTGGAGTCCGAATCAGAACCTGAGGTTGAAACGGATGACCATGCGAAGAAGTGCAGCACTAATGTGGTATTGCTTTCCAGCGATGATTGCGAAATTATTGAGTCGTCGCAATCGGTGTCAATGACATCGAACTCACCAGCCAAACGAAAATACATGAAACGTGTACAACCTCCAAAGTCAGTGGAGCTGACCGAATCGGAAACGGAAGAGCCGCCTAATACGTCGACGAAAACAAGGAAAGTACTTAACGTGAGGCTAAGACGAGCGTCCATTCAGAGCAACCCCATGAACTCTGTGAAGGCTTCGTCTAAAAGATCACCCGATTCTCCGCGTAAGTCGAAGTCACCTATAAAACCCGAGCCGAAAACTCCGAAACGTGACACGTTGCCACCCGCATCTGTATATAGATAGTATATCCGACAATTATGGTTAAGTAAGCTCATTTTGATGATCGTCTCATTTTTTATGGCTATAAATTATGTTCTTAAAGTCAATTTTAAATGAACATGCAAATACATGCAAATGTTTCCATCTCTGGTAGTGCACATTGTTCATCTCTAACGAGTTTAAAGTTCAGTGTTGCAAGGCGCGGAAAAAGGTACACAACAAGGGCGATGAATTTTTCATGTAATTAAAGAACATTTAAAAAATGCATTTAATATTAAAGTCGTAGCTAAATATAAATTTATTTATATATTTCCAGTAAATGTCAAATACCAGAAGGCATAGCACAACCAAGAAAACATTTTTCCCACCCACTTATTACGCGCCTTTTTTCTACCTACGTTTACCTGCTGCATTTACTCCACACATGCATATCGTCTACAATAACTATAACAATAACAACTTGGTGGATATTTTTAATAGTGAATATGTGGATGGGCCGCTGACGTCCAAGAGGATGATAATTGGCTCGTTTTCAATGTTTCTGATATTTTCATACCTTAAGCTGCTGTACATACTCGTGGCAATCTATTTGGCGCTACACCACGTCCACATATAAATAGGTCGAAAAAGGGGCAAATGTATCACTTTGTCTCAGAGCGAACAGCGGAAGTACGCGTCTCCGAGAACGTGCTGATTCCCAGCAAGACGACGCAGTACTTAAAGAGCTTTCAACTCGAGGCAGTGCGCTTTCTCTATAAACGGCTGTCCAAAAAAGAGTTTTGCATTTTTAACGATGAGAGCGGTTTGGGCAAAACAGCGTCTGTTGTGGCCCTGTTAAGTGGACTGGGAACGGTCAAGAATACGCTAATTGTGTTGCAGAACGATGATCAGTTGCTGGCTGGCTGGCAGTTTCACCTGGGAGTGCTCACTGATTTGCCCGTATGCGTTATTAAGAACGTTAATGGTATTAATGGATTATATAAATAATTATACATGTATAAATAATAGATAATTGATCCACGTCTATTTTGTAGACACCACAGAATCGGCGCATAGCGTTTATCTGAGCAAGTGGAGTATATTACGCAGCATAGGCGATCTCAGCAAGCTGAATTTTGACTACATCATTGTAGATCATCGCGGATACACATTAAATAATAATTTTTGCACTTCCATGCTGCTGAAGCAATTCGAAGGCAAAGTGAACATTGTGATCTCTAGTGTGGACATAACGGTAAGGGCATTAAATATATAAAAATATGAAAATCGAAGTATAAGAACTTGATCCTTCTTCCAGTCCGACGTTAAGTTGCTGTATAAGGTGATGCAATTGGGAGGCTGTTTGGATCATCAATTCAAGTGCTTTAGAAGTTTTGAGAGCAAGTTTCATCTACCAGATGTTAAGGAGGTGCTAAGCAAGCGTGTCGATATCGAGGAGTACTATAAGCAGCGGGGTATCCTTGGCGAATACATCAAGTTGGTGAACCTCAGCAGTAAATCAAACGATTAATGTTGCTATTAATATATCTTATATATCAGCACAGTTTCTAAATCCATTTACTAACATCTCAATCATTTTAGTAACATTTTTTATTATACTTGCAGAGATTATCGTCTTCGTCGCTATCGCCATCAGTTTGATTCATACCTGCCTCTTGTCACGGCCGAGCAATACAAGAGGAACCTATCTCTGTGGCTGGGCGAGAACAATAGCAGCAGCACAATAAGTGACTCAACTGTAGGATCGAAAACATCAGACGTTCCTTCCACAGGCGACACCGAAGAAATCTTTGAGTGTATATTAAGCCTTCAACGGGAGCGACATTTAGCGGAATGCCAGGAGCCAGATAAAATATCTCTGTCTGAGCACAGTGATGACGTGATTGCAATGGAGCCATTGATTTTGGAGTCCGAATCAGAACCTGAGGTTGAAACGGATGACCATGCGAAGAAGTGCAGCACTAATGTGGTATTGCTTTCCAGCGATGATTGCGAAATTATTGAGTCGTCGCAATCGGTGTCAATGACATCGAACTCACCAGCCAAACGAAAATACATGAAACGTGTACAACCTCCAAAGTCAGTGGAGCTGACCGAATCGGAAACGGAAGAGCCGCCTAATACGTCGACGAAAACAAGGAAAGTACTTAACGTGAGGCTAAGACGAGCGTCCATTCAGAGCAACCCCATGAACTCTGTGAAGGCTTCGTCTAAAAGATCACCCGATTCTCCGCGTAAGTCGAAGTCACCTATAAAACCCGAGCCGAAAACTCCGAAACGTGACACGTTGTTGCCAGTTACGCCTAAAACTGAGCCAAGGTCAGCACGCTCCGATGGAAAGAAAAACGTTGACATGGAACCCAGGCAGACGCGTGGAATGCAAAGATTAACGCGTTCGGCGGACTCACGCTCGAACAGTAAGTACATGACGCAGCTGAAGTCGCTGGATTATGAGAAGAAAGGGACACCCAGACGGAAACGCAATTCCGGCACTAATCAAACGCCCAAAAGTAGCAAGGTGAAAAAGGAGAAGATTACTGTGAAGCAAGAGATTGCAGTCACGCCTAGGACATCAAAGACAATGCCAATGAAAATGAGCCAAAAAGAACCAGAAGCCAAAAGGACGACGAGGAGCCGAGCAGATAAGGAACATTTCTCCAATATGCTGACCTCTTTGCCTGACAATAAAAGAGTCAAAAAGGCCAGTTGTAAAACAGTTAAGGTTCCGCCCGCTGCCACGTTGAAGCCACCCGCATCTGTTCCGAATAACGAAAGAAAGAGCAAGGCCAGCCCAAAAGTCGTAACGACTTCACCAGCAGTTACAGCCGATCTACCGAATTCTCCTCTGGGCAACCAAAAAAATGGAAAGACCAACTTCAAACCCGTGGCAGCTGCACCCGCTGCAACACCTGAGCTGCTAAGCTCTGGTTCCATTTTGTCTGATAACTCGTATTTGCAATGCGCGCAAAAATTTCCAGAGAACCTCGCAGAACTCGAGGCATTGGATCTGCCCGAGTTTCGGGTGCCGCACGCACCGCCGACAAGTCAACTGTTGTTGCCCGTGAATCTGAACCTGCTTAGTGGCTCCGAGGTGGCTGTCGTACCCAGTCCAAACACAAAGCCAGATGTCGTGGTGATCAACAGTTCGCATGATGAGAGCTCGCAGCCATCGACTAAGCCATCGCAAAGCCGGCGCACTCGAGCATTGAAGAGGAAGTCTGTAGCTCCGACAAAGGAGAAACAGTCTCAGCCGACCACCTCCCGCTTCGGCCTCATGCTGGCACAGCATCGCGGCTCGGTGAACAAATCCCCAGACATATTCAGCAACTGCTCGGAAGCGTCGCAAGTGTCGCTAGCGCAGCCTGTGCCATTTGAGGGCTTCAAAATATTCGGCTCGGAGGTGGGGCAGCCTCAACAGCAGCTGCATGACAAAACAGGCGCGGCCATGCCGGCTAAAAGGAAGCGCGAACGCTCCTGCCTGGAACTTTTGGAGAAAATGTTTGAGCCCCATCAGGCTAAGCATACCGAGCTGGGTGTTCAATTGCTGCCGGATCTGCCGAGCCCCAAGCAGCAGTTGCCACAGCGTCGGTTCACATTGTTGGACGACGACATCTTTGAGATAACCAATAATGGGGAATTCGGCAGTCGTCTGCGAGTTGACTCCGCGGGCAACGTGTCGCCCGTGCAGCAACAGCAGCTGGCACAGCGTAACAAAATCACTAACTATCTGATCAGCTCTAGTGGCGCTCCGGAGGATACGGGCCAGCGTACACAATCCAGCCAATTGCTGCGAAAGTCACCCAAGCCGCTCAAATCCACGCAATCCACAAAGCTGACGCGCTGGTTTGGCACGGCGATCTCTGGCGGATCCCAGAGCGCGCCTAGCACACCTGTGCTGCCCACCGAGAAAGCGGATCGGGCCCGATTGGCACGCAGCGCGGGATCCAAGAAACGCAAGCGACTTGTGCTGGACAAGTGACTCGATATCGATATCAAGTTGACGACGTGATCTATTCAAAAGACTCGAGAGACTCAAGACTATGTAGCGAGTCGAGCTAAGAAAATTTGCCAAAACTCTTATCAAAATCTAAGTCCCATTGTCTAACAACCCAACCAAACTTCACTTTTCAACCTTTTTTTTCTTATAAATTTTAATATTTTTTTTAACTATACCTCAAGCTAGAGAATCTAATACAAAGATCTTTCGCTGAAGAAGTTCAATTGTGATGTCTATCCACAGATCGATGAATTATTTATAAAAAAAGAAAATATATATACATATATGTATAGATTTGTGTATTTTCTGGAGGCAAGCATTTCAATTTGTAAAGAATTTTCTATAGTATGCATGAATTTTCGATTTAGCTTACATTGGAATTATGTATTTTAATTGTTTTGTTATAATTGAACAAATACTTAGCAACAATTTCTGTTTGTTAATTTAGTTGAGTTGAGCATTCAATACAATGTAATTTTAAAACCTATTAGATGTGAAAATACAAACAAAAGAATGAATAGAATGGAATACGAGACTTTCAATACGCCTGGCGTTGACCTGGGACTAAGCTCGCCTGAATATTTGAGTCAGATTATGCATTACAGCGCGGCGCTGGAACTCCAGCTCGCGGCGGCAGGCGGTGCCCAGGAACGGGGGGCACTGATATTGGATCTTCTCATTGGCATATGTGCCCGCTCCTATTGAGCTGAAACTGAATTCGCTGCGCGAGTGCACTGAAAAAATAAATGAAACGAAAACCAAACGCAATTCATGAGAAAAGTGCAGGCATGTGCTTCTACTGGCCGAGCACTTACGGCAGTAGTGGCCGCCCAGGAAGCAGGTCTCGTGTGTCGATTGGATGGACCAGGCGGGCGGATGGACGCCCGGCAGAGTCTTGGTCACCACATAGTGGGCGGTGGCTTCGTTCAGCCAGTGCGGCCAGTGCGACAGGCGCTCCGTATACCGCACCGTGTAACGCCAGTCGTGGGCGTGGCCTTGATCGGCGAGAATCCTAAAATTGATGCTGGTGCGTGAAGGTCGCATTAGTTGTTGCTATCCGAGACGCGGGCGCATACTCACATTGTGGGATTCAACAGGCGCATTTTATTGAAGTCCGCCACATACTCCCAAACTGCTTCCGGTCTGGCATTGTCGATAACGCGGTCTATTTGGTACTTGTGATAGCCGCCAGAGAACACGAATAAGTAGAACAAGACGACAGCGCCGAGCAGCAGCGCCAGACGCTTCAGATTCCATAGACGCATGCTGTGCATGGTGGCAATGTGTGAATGTGTTTGTTAGAATTACAATAAACAAATCGAGACAGAGGCAGAGGCAGAGGCAGAGACGATGCCCACATAAACAATGCTCCAGCAGCCCAGCGCCGAGCCGAACAGCAGCGAGGCAGGCAGATGACTAAATGTGGAAGAGTTTACCCAGCGAGTGGTAAATATCTCACTGGATCAAAGGCTGTGCCAGTGGCGTAGCGCAAAGGGGATGGCACACAACTCAAAAAGAGTGCAGGGAATTTAAGTCCTCTGATATCGTCAAAATCTATAAATAGATTTAAGAGCCGTGATAAAACTGATGTCCTACATGCATCTCCTCATCAGTTGGTTGTTTTTATATTTGCAAAATTTTGGAAATATATGTATGTATTTGCATGTAGTATTATTATCTCATTGTCATTTAGCCATTTAAACTTACACTATTTTGTAAAATTTTTCTATTGATCTTGTTATATTATTATTATTTTTGTTTACCGTTAATTAATTGACTTGTCGCAATGCATTTGAACAGTTCAGTTCTGATTAAAACCCTTATAATAAATTTTTATGCTATAGTCTAAAAATAAAAGGCGACAGAAACAGAGAACCTGTTTTAATTATTGATACTTAGGAATAATGAAGTTTTAACGGGCGAAATTTTTAATTGATTCAGCAAAAAATATATATATTTAAAATAATGCAATTTTTTTGCTGAATCAATTAAAATATGTAAGAACAAATATATATGTACATACATATAACAACTTCAATAAAAGATACAAAATTTATTTAAATTAGAAATTAGGCAAAGTTTTTATTATTACGAGATCAGTCCAGAGATTATTTATGCTTTATTTATTCATATATTTTATGTATTATGTACTTTATGTATTGTTAATTCATATTTTCATATGAAATGTTCGATAAGATGAAATCATTCATATAGTAGGGCTACCCGCCAGCGTAGAAGATTACAAAGTGCTCGCTCATTAATTGGACTTATTACACCAATACGTGCTTCAACTGTGTGCGTGTGCTTAGATGGATTTGCAGAGCTTTCGCGCCAAAGCTCTCAGTGTACAAATGCCATATGATTAGAGTGTTCAGTTTATAAACAACACTCGGCTGTTGCTGTTCGTGTTTTCGCCGGTGCGGAGCAACTTGAGTGGAATCGCAAACGCTTTCGCCAGTGAGGTAAGCGTGAGCATATTGTTGTGTCTAAATGCATGCTTATCAGAACCGATTCTAATTGAAATGTTTTGATGGCACAGCGGAATCCAGGCGGCAAGCCCCCAGCAGCGAATTGTAGGTTAGGTAATCCATCGGCCGTGTCAATAGTCTCTGATTAGGGGCAACAGCGTAGAAACGTCCATCAAATGCGATTGCTGGTGAAACGCTCGAACCTGTGGCTGCGGCAATGCACGGCACAGCTCAGGCGGCAGGCGACAAACATGGCAACCGGTTCCCAGTTCCACAAACTGGCGACGGCGGCAAAGAGTGCGGCAACAGGTGCACAACTCGATATTAAGAGCGACAACAATGCGCTGGAAGCGGCTGTCACGCAGGTGATTACCATATAATTTATACAAAATAGACTTTGATTAATCTGTGTGAACGACATTCGTACATAGAGCGCTGCTGCCGCCTCGCCCCTGACAGACAGCTTTGGCCGGCATCACACATACCTGAGGATTTCGCTCACCGAGCGATGCAATCTGCGCTGTAAGTCCACTTGAGTGCTGCCCGATTGGGTATGGACGTTATCTGTCCGAGTGCTAGACATTGAGTGCTCGTCGCTGATAAGCAGTGGTGAAATACTCCAATTCTTCAATTACAGGTGACTATTGCATGCCGGCCGAGGGTGTGCCGCTGCAGCCCAAGTCCCAGCTGCTGACCACCGAAGAGGTGCTGCGCCTGGCGCGCATCTTCGTGGAGCAGGGCGTGCGCAAGATACGTCTGACGGGCGGCGAGCCGACGGTGCGCCGCGACATAGTGGAGGTGGTGGCACAGCTGAAGGCCCTGCCCCAGCTCGAGCACGTGGGCATCACCACCAATGGGCTGGTGCTGACGCGTTTTCTCGTGCCGCTGCAGCGCGCTGGCCTGGATTCGCTGAACATCAGCTTAGACACGCTGCGCAAGGAGCGCTTCGAGCAGATAACGCGTCGCAAGGGCTGGGAGCGGGTCATCGCGGGCATCGATCTGGCCATTCAGCTCGGCTACCGACCAAAGGTCAGCATAATATAAACAACAAATTAACATTCCTAATGGAGCGACTCATCGTACAACATTCCAGATCAACTGCGTGCTGATGCGCAACTTCAATGAGGATGAGATTTGCGACTTTGTCGAGTTCACCCGCGAGCGACCCGTCGACGTACGATTCATAGAATATATGCCCTTCTCGGGCAACAAGTGGCAGACGGAGCGCCTGATCTCTTACAGCGAAACAGTGCAGGCGATACGCCAACGATGGCCCGAGTTCCAGGCGCTGCCCAACGGGCCGAACGACACCTCCAAGGCGTACGCGGTGCCTGGCTTCGCTGGCCAACTGGGCTTCATCACCTCCATGACTGAGCACTTCTGCGGCACCTGCAATCGCCTGCGCCTGACGGCCGACGGCAACATCAAGGTGTGCCTCTTTGGCAACAAGGAGTTCTCGCTGCGCGACGCCATGCGCAGCGATGGCTGCACGGAGCAGCAGCTGGTGGAGCTCATAGGCGCCGCAGTGCAACGTAAGAAGCGACAGCATGCAGGTGGGTGTCAAACTGTTTGGGATTACCATTTGTAGTTGTCTGTATTAATGGGCGCATTAATCCTACGCAGGCATGCTGAATCTGTCGCAAATGGAAAATCGCCCAATGATACTCATAGGCGGCTAGCACAGAGCTCGCACACCATTCCCCTAGAACGAAATGTTTGCTTGCAGGTTTCGGCAACTACAGGAACGGCAGCAGGACCATGCTTCATCCTCATCAACCACAGCACGTACAGCTGCGCAACTGCAGTGGATTGACGCACATCAACGCCCAAGGCAAGGCGCAAATGGTGGATGTCGCCGGCAAAGCTCATACTACCCGCACGGCCAGCGCCGAGGCCACGGTTCTTGTGGGCGAGCGTCTGACAGCGCTAATTGCAGCCAACGAGTTGGCCAAGGGCGACGTCCTCAGCGTGGCCCAGCTGGCCGGCATCATGGGAGCCAAGCAAACGTCGCTCCTGATACCGCTGTGCCACAATATCGCCTTGTCCTCGGTGCGGGTGCAGGCCACGCTGCTAGAGCAGCAGCACTCCGTGCGCCTGGTGGCCACTGTGCGCTGCAGCGGACAGACTGGCGTCGAAATGGAAGCCCTGACGGCCGTCTCTGTGGCGGCGCTCACCGTCTACGACATGTGCAAGGCCGTCTCCCACGACATCTGCATCCAGAATGTACGCCTGCTGAGCAAGTCGGGCGGCAAACGAGATTACCAGCGTCAATAAAATCACTCAGTTTGTGCATCCATTTGCCATTTCAAATTAGCTCTTTTCGTTTTAATTGTGGGCCGATTTGGTGAGAGTTATGCATGTCAATGTGTGTGAATTTATGAGTGGGTGGTGTGAGTGGGGTGATGGGGTAGGTTCGGACATGGATGATTGACATTTGCGTGTGTAACGGCGCCTTATAGCTAAAATTACATATAACATTAGAATCATAATCAATGCATTCATTATTGTAGTGCCGCCGCACAAAGAACCTCAATGGACACAATAAATACGCTTCGTTCTCCTCGTACATCTCGTCTGCTGTTTGGTGTTTATTTCTTGGCTTCGATTAGGAGACCAGCACGTTTCGGTTTTCCGATTTGCTGGCGTTTTCCGTGTCCGCCGACTTGGCGGCGTCGGTTCCTATTTGTTCTCCGCGTATTTTTATGTTGTGCTCCTCCTTGAATTTGTTCAGCTCCACGCCTTTTTTGCTCAGATCAGCTGTGACAGTCGCGATGGTCTTCGCAATGAATTCCTTGTTTTCCATCAGCTGAGGCAGGACGTCTTTAACGGTGCGCTCGCACAGCACGCCACCGATGAGGCGGAAGCACTTGCGGTCAGGGTCCACTGCATTCAGTGTTTCTATCACAGTTCTTTTGGAATATATAGAGAGCGACAATTTGTTTATATTTGATATTTTGGAGGTTATGTTTAGCGGCCCCTTCTGACTCACTTGTGTTCGCGCAGATCCATTTCCAGCGTATTGAGGCTGTTGGCCAGGTTTCTTTGTTCATTCCGCAGCTGTTGGAACTGGGCGACAATTTTTTCTTGGGCGATCTGGGCTTTAGCTGCTTCGTTGCTCATTTTTCAATTAATTTTTGAACAGATGTCTAATGAAGTTGAATGCTAGCTCGATAAGGTGTGGCCGAACCTCATTTCATTTGGTGTTTTAAAATGAAAGTAGGCACATTTTTGCATAATTTGAACGTGGTCACGCTGATTTGAGGATGTTGTGGATCTTAATTTTGTTCCCACAGCACTGCCCATTTATTAGAAACAAGGTTGGCAGTGCTGATTATGGAGCGCGCACTTTTAATTTTGCTCAATTATTATAAATGGCAAATAAACAACAACAAGTTGTTTGGATGTCTAATTAAAATTGTCTTTTATGAATAATGAATTTTTATAAGCAACAGTGCTTAGAATATATAGATTAAATCTCATCGGCACTTGAAGCGCAACACACAAATAATTTTGTATTCAAGTTGGCAGTTCCGATTTATGCAGTGGATACTTTAAATTTTGATTAACTGTTATATTATAACTATTATTGGATTGATTATTATAAGTGATTAGACTATATGTGTTTTTGTATTATATGTATATTAATTATATTATGTAAATTTTTGAGAAAACATATTTTTGTTCAAGCTGTATGAATCGATGAATCGCAGCTGCCAAGCTGATGACTTTATAACCCAATTCATCTGCTAATTGTGCGCGCAAATATTTATTTTGTTTGTATCATTCATCATAGCGGCATTCGAAATTCTGATCTTTTCGGTTTCTGTCGACGATAATTCTTGCATCGCTTTGTGCACCTCACACACAACTGTCTTAGCCGTTCGCAATGCATTTTACAATCAGCCTGCTGTTGCTCATTTGCCTCGTGCCTGTATTGCACTGCTCCTACGATGTGATTGCTCCTGCCCAGAACTTGACGGCTTACTTGCTCGCGCGCCAGAAGCGCCATCAGCTGATCTACCAGAGCGGAAGCACCATTCGCCTAGTGGTTGGCCCCGTGATTGGTGTCCAGCTGGAAGATCCGGTAAAGTGGCGTAGCTTTGTACAGTTCATGGCGCTGCACTTTGGGGGCTACACGCTGCCCTCGGCACCCCTCTACCCATGGGACAAATGGGAGTCCATGTTTGCCCGATCGCTCAAGGAAAAGATACGACAGCTGGACGCATCGCACGAGGATGACACACGCCTCTTTGCCTACGCCGCTCTGGAGCATTACATAGACAACGCGAGCAGCGTTCCGGGACGGGGCCGCCAGTGCCTTCTCCGTGCCATGTGCGAGAATGCGCAAGTGCATCAGCATGTGGGCATCATGGCCGAGCTGCTGAATGTGCTGCTAACGTAAGTCTTGCAATCGAAGATCTCAATTGCCTTAAGACTTCCTTTCCCCATTGCAGTCCCGGCAAAGCGCGACTCGAGCAGGACTACAAGGAGGCCCACGCTGCGGGCCTGGCCGGCGTCGACTGTCTGCACCAGTTCCACGACTGTCCCAGAGGCGCCAGCGCCTTGGATGCGCTAACGGTGGATGTGAATTACTGAGTTTCCAATATGGTCCAATCTGAAATGAACTTGAATAAAAGAGCAACTATGCAAAACAATTTGGAATGCTTCTCGCAGTTTCGTTGCTAGTGTAAGCTGACTTCGCTGCCACGCCCCCGAGCAGCGCACAGCACGGCTTGAGGCTGCGGCTGCGGCATCCTGAGAGCCAAATACTGTGCAGCGAGCGTGCGACCGCCATTTTGTCAACAATGGCTTCAATTAAATGGAAATGCAGCAGGAACAACAACAACAACAACTACATCGAGTGCAACTACGACAGCTGAAAGACAGACAATAAATGCGTCTTAAGTGCCACATTAGGCTTGCCAGGTGGCTAACGCGCTGGCAACAAGACCGCGACAACATCGCCCGGATGCACCGGGTGCTCCACTGCAGCGCAGCTCAACCAGCAGCCTGTGCATAGGCAGCAGCCTCTAGCTGCAGTTGGGGCACCCTGCACGCCTATCGCTCGCCGTTCTGTATGCACAGCTAATTCAAATGCGATTATGACAACGCGAACAACGCTGCTGCTCGTTGGGGCGGCTGCCTCGGTGGGTGGGCAATGTTGACAGGGAGTTAAGCATAGATATATAGCCAGGGAGAGACAGACAGAGAGAGAGAGAGAGAGAGAGAGAGAGAGAGAGAGAGAGAGAGACAGAAGAGAGCAGCAGCAGTTGTGCAAGTTTGCGGTATTTGAACTTCTGATGTCGCATAGGAATAGGTAACAATTCAACGGCAGTGACGTTTATGCGGACAGCAAATTGGTGAAATGGAAAACTAAAATGAAAGTTCAAAGAATATATTGATGAATATTATACCACTAATGTCAATGTATCAATTTCTGATATGATGTTTTGTTGGAGAATCATTTCATTCAGTTTAAAGTAGCTGAATTAGAATATTTACATACATGTATATATGTATAGATGTAAATGAAATATGAAATCAGCCTCTTTCTGATTCTCAATATTGATGGAGATTTCGGTTTTGATCATCTACTCTGGATGAAAATATTAAATTGTAATATCTTAGTTCATAGTTGAATCACATATTCTACTTATCTTAGTATGCTTTGATGCCTGTCCCAATCGAGCTCTGCTCTGTAGACGGAGCTGAATTATTTAAAAATTCGCTTTCGAGTCTCTCTGCGTCAAGGCTGATTAAACTAAACAGATTTCTTCAGCGCTTAGAAATTGATGTGATTAAAATAAAGTTAGTAACTAAAAGCTTTTTGCATAATACCGCAATACCACTAATTTCATTGGAGGAACCTTCGTGTAAACTGTAATGTTTGGTTAGCCCGTGTGTGCTATATGTTTGCTTGTGCAGCCGCCCCTATTGCCGTTTCCTGCCGCATTCCGCATGCCGCATGCCACATACCACATGCTCACTGCGTGCGCCTTTGACGGAGAGTCGCAAATTATGCAACAGTTGCAACAAGAAGCATTAGACATGCATTTTGATTTGTGTCAAAACTTTATTGTTGTCCAATCCAATGCATCAATCGATCCGTAGCGAAAATCCAATTAATCAAAACTCAACTGCGCTCCGCAACCAACATCTCGTCCAGAAAGTTGAGGCCACGTGGACAGGCCTCAAAAACGGCCAGGCAATTAGCACCCGCCTGTCCAGCCGCAAAGGCATCGTGATAGCAGCTATCTATATCGGCTTTGCCCGGACTGCACAGATAAGAGAGAGAGAGACAGAGAGAGAGAGAGAGAGTGAGGCGGGAGGCAGAGAGAGGAGAGATAGAAATAGAGGTAAGGCGGGGTAAATGATGCAAGAAAGAAAGGTTGGAAGCCGTTCGAATTGTTTGCTCACCTCAGCACAATGTTCAGTATTTCGGAGAAGATGCCAACGTGATGATGCACCTGGGCATTCTCGCATATGGAGCGCAACAGGCATTGTCTGCCCACAACCACATCGCTGTTCCGCCTGCCCATGTACTCCTCGAGGGCCGTGTACACCAGCTGTCGTGCGTCGTCCGCGTATCGCACAGCTCCGCTGGCCGTGTGCCTCTCGATGTTGCGCCTCATTTGCTGCAGAGATCGGGCAAAGGTGGTCTCCCACTTGTCCCAGGGCCAAATGGGACTCGTGGGCATGCTGTAGGTGCCGCCCTGCAGGGTGAACGAAAGGACCGCAGAGCGGAATTTCACGGGATCACCCAAAGGAATAGGCATCGAGGCTCCTATGCTGAACTTGATGGAGCCGCTGTTCTGGAAGATAAGTCCGCGTCGCTGCCGATGGGCCAGGAACTCGGTCAGGTTGGCCGACGCGCTGGCACTGTAAATACAGCCGAGGGCCAGTAATGTGAAGCCAATGAATCTCTTGCCCGTTCCAGACATATCCGCAACACGCATCGAAGCTAACTGCGGCAGTCGCGCCTAATCAGCAGCGCCTCAAGTGAGTCGTCAACGATGACAAGTGGAAATTTCAGAGGCGCAAACATTTGCCCAGCCAATTAGCATTTGAATTGTGCTGGAAATTGAAGCCCCGAAATTAGTTTGGGTTTCTATTTGCGCACGTGAGCTAAGAATTTACATTCCGCTGGCCGAAGGGGTATCTGTGGCAGGGCCTGATAGCCTGGCTAAGATGAACAGGCCAACAGCTCGTTGATGTGGAATGGAGACCACTTAAAAGACCATTAAGAAAGCACACAATGGAAAACGAAAAATCTTTTGCAAATTATTTATCCAAATAAACATGACAGAGCATGCCCCAAAAAAGATGAGGATGGGGACACCGCAGCGACGATAGTGTGGCCACGGAAACAGTTGTGATTTGTCGACGTGGCCGGAAATGAAAAGCAAACAACAGCAGGAGCAACAACAACAGGAGCAGCAGCAGGAGCAGCAGCACTGCCAGCAGCATTTGCTTATATAACAACAGCAGCAGCCAAGAAATATCGTCTCTCCAACTCGGCCTGACTAGGTAAGACACATGTGCACACACTTTAATCTAATTCACTACGCAATCTTCATCCAGAATATGTAGATTCAATGCCCCAATAAAAATGTAGAAAACAATACTTTGATAGTCATCTGTAAATACTTAAAACAGTAGAATTGCCAAAACACATACATAGATATTAAATGTTGCTATTCAGCTATCAGAAATATTTTTAGCATAAATTATTATTTTATATTTTAATTGGAGATAAAGTATTTTCACTAAAAAAATTATAATAATAATAAATATATTTTTCTAGTTTCTATTATTATTTTTCGCTTTGTTATTGCTTTTCTAAATAAATGTTTTTATATTTTAATTGAAAATAAATTACTTTCAATACAAAAAGTTCAATAGTCTTTGTAAGTCACTATATGACAAAAGAAAACAAGTAAGAAGACTCTAGTCGAGACTGCTCGACTAGGAGATACCCTGAACCCTCCA